AGTACTCTAGAGAGGTCCCTGATGTCAGACTTTTCCAATGCATTTCATCTTTTGATTTCTTGATTGCTGGTGCCAAAAGTGTTGATTTTAGAACCAAACAAACTGAAATTATTAACAATCAATCTCTTCTCCACCTATCATGAAGCTGCCAGTTGGCCCACTGGTGAGAAACTTTTTTTCTTGATGTTGTGCTTCAATCCATATTGAAGACTACAGCCCTTGACCTTCTGTAGCAAATGTCTCAAGTCCTCCTCAGTTTTGGCAAGCAAGGCTGTGTCATCTGCATAACACAGGTTGTTGCTGAGTCTTCCTCCAATTCTAAAGCCACATTCCTCCTCATAAAGACCAGCCTCCCAAATGATCTGTTCTGCATATAGATTTAAAAAGTATGGAGACAGGATGCATCCCTGACACACTCTTTCCTGATCCCGAACCATGCAGTGTTCCCTTGCTATGCCCGTTTTATCAACCTAAGGAAAAGAAACAGTCCTGCTTTTGGTTTCAAAATAATGAAGCTCTGTGTTTTAAACATACAGGATTAGAACATGATTTCAGACTAGGCAACCAGCTATCTAGTGTGCACTGGAAATTGCATTTTAGGATAAAAATTGTCAATTTTCACTTCACTAAGCATACTTTGCAGAACACAGCTAAGCTCAATGTTTCCGTTTGAAGCAGTGAATCCTTTTCAAAAAGCAAAGCTCCACACTGTTTTTGAGTGTGTGCTTTTTGAGTTGATGACTCCTTAATATAGTATAAAGAGGCTTGCACTGCTGAATACAGTAGCTTTATTTGATCTTGAGTACTACTGATATGTGGCTACTGAGTATTTGAAAAGTGGGTAGTCTGAATTAAGACAGGCTGTAATTGTAACACATACCAAATTTCAAAGCTGAACACAAAGAAATGAAAAGATCTAATGATTTTTATATTGAGTACATATTAGATATAAGGGCTAAATAAATGCGTACAATTATTTATACCTGTTTCATTTTACATACTCATGTAGCTACTGATGTTGTTCTTGATTTGATTCTAACTCATAGTGACCTTCCATCAGGTCCCCAAGGCTATAAATCTTCGTAAGAAAAGACTATCCATCTTTTTTCCTCAGAGTATTTAGTACATTCTAACCACTGATCTTTCACTTAACAGCCCAACACTTAATGCTTCATCCCACCAGCATCCCTTAAAGGGGATGTAGCTCTCATTACACACAAAAATCGACTCAAGGTGGATCAGAGACCTAGGGATAAAGCCTAAACACATAAGATCATAAGAGATAAAGTAGGACCAAGCTTATAAGTATAGTATAAAAAGGTTGACAAATACAGCCAGAAATACATAACCATTAGTGGATTAAATTGATGAATGGGACCTCCTAAAGATTAAATCCCAGTGCACATCAAAAACATTTTCCAACAGAGTGAAAATAAAACCTACTGTCAGAGGGGGGACCCCACAACATTTGGCAAATAACATTTCAGACAAGGGTCTCATATAAAAAAAAATTACACAATCCTATGCCAGTGATGTGCCCTATCTCCATTCCTTTTCTATCTATATGCAGAACAGATCATCTGAAAAGTAGTTTGGCCTTTCTTTAAAAAGCTGAACACAGAAATTCCATATGACTCGGCTGTGGTGCTGGAGAAGAGTATTGAGAGTAACATGGACTGCTAGGAAAACAAACAGATTCATCCTGGAAAGGGTTAAATCAGGTAGCTCCTTGGAGGCAAGGATTCTGAGGCTCCGTCTAACATACTTTGGACATGATATGAGGAGAGACCAGTTCTTGGAGAAGGACATTATGCTTGGAGGGTGGAGGGACAGCACAGGAGAGGAAAGCCCTCTATGAGGTAGATTGATACAGTGACTGGGATAATCGGGATGGGAGTGTCAGAGACAGTGCGACTGGCATAGGGCAGAGCAGAGTTTAGGGCTGTTGTACACAGGGTCGCTATGAGCCGCAAGCGACTCGATGGCACATAACAACAATATTCCACTGCTTGGAATATACCCTGAGAAAATTAGAACTGAGGCACAAATGGAGATTTGTAAGCCAGTGTTCACAGCAGTGTTATTCACTATCACAAGAATATGGAAATATATCGTGGCTTTTTTCACAATAGCAAAGAAATAAAAATAAAAATAAAAAAATAGCAAAAAAAATAGCCATCAACAAACAAATGGATATAGAAGCTGTGGAATATTCACACAATGGAATACCATGCTGTACTGAAAAACAAGGAACTCATGTAATATTCAAAATATGTGACCCTGGAGGACATTATCCTGAAGTACCTCAGTCACAAAAGGACAAATACTGTATAATGCCCTGTTGTAAAACGGGACTGACATCAGGGTTGAGGGGAGACGGAGAAAGATGGGATAAATAATGTCTACTGCATT